TATGTTGGTTACTGTTTTAAACAATATGACTTTTGAGTTTCCCATAAATACATATCCAGTTTTAAATAAAATACTAAGGTGACAGAATTTTCAATCTTCTCATACTTATTAACCAGAAATACAAACCTGATTTCGACTGAAAATATATCGTCGATTTTGTTGTCTTTACAATGGAGTATAACCACTTTTAATCTTGTGGTGTATAGTACATGGTGCATACCATAAATACATTTTCAATTTCCTATGGATATTTTTGAAATTATATAGAATGTTTTTCAATCCTATAAGATGGGGTAAGAAATTTCCTTCATTTATATTTTCTAGGCTCGGGCCTTCTTTTGACCAAAATAAATAAATATAGGTCAATCTAAAGTTGTATATTCTCTTTATCCATAGTTATAGATTATTCATGTTTTCTATTTTATTTTCATTATACATTATTTTTAATTTAATATAATATATTTTTTATATATAATGAAGATGAATACAATCAATAATAATGATAGTATTTTGAAAAAAAATTTAAATAACCACATTTTTCAAAAAAAAAATTCTCAAATAATTACATTTTCAAACTAGCTACTTTTCAAACAAAAAAAATCATCACACAGAGGAGTAGCCACTCTGTGTGACGTATGCATACAATTTAGAGAGGAGGCGCCACACTGCATGACCTGTCCTCCTCTGTAAAGTCATGCAGTGTGGCGCATGCATGTAATGTTAGAGAGGAGGCGCCATGTAGTGTGACTTGACAGTGTTATTTATTAATTTTTTAAAATAAAAATAAAAGTAACTAAAAATATTGTATATTAATATTTTATATTACACAATGCATGGATACATATTTTTTAGTCGTCCTCTCAACCTAAACGGGTCCCAGTATGACATAAACGGCCCCGCCTTTGCCTCACCCCTTGTCTCACTCCTCTTTGTTGATTTTCCTGAGGTGTTTGGGGTATGTTCTGACTCGCTTGATTATGAGGTGCTTGATGTGATGGTTCTGGTACACCAGGATCATACATATCATCGATCATTTCGCCCCATTGTGTTGTGCTTCCAAAGAGATTGGTGCCCATGTTGTTGAAGTTTGGTCTTGTTGGTTGGTATATGTGTGGGTGGGGTGGTTGATAGTATCGGGATGTTGAATCGTGTTGGAAATGAAGCAATGGTTCTTGTGGTGTATGAAATCCTTATGATGGTTGGGTACTTCGATAGTGTAATGTTTGACTGTATGTAGGTTGGGTGGTATGGTAGGAAGGAGAACTATCATATGTGTCTTGGGTGTTGTGGTAGGATTGGGAGGGTGCATATTATTGGTGGTGGGTCGGGTCATGCTCTTAGTATTGTGTTTGTGTGTGTGGCATGAATTGATGACGGGTTTGATTGAATGTGGTGGTGTATGGTTGTTGGGTTTAGTATTGTTGAGGGGTTGGTTTTTGGGTTTGGTATTGTTGAGGGGTTGGTTGTTGGGGTTGGTTGTTGGGGTTGGTTGTTGGGTGTATGTTGCAGCTCTTTGGCGTGGGTCGATCAAATATGTCTCTTGAGACATAAACGGATTTATTGAAACCTATGTGTACCATCTCAAATCATTAGATCCCCATTGGTCGTCAACTAAGTAGATGTCATTGTCCCAAACATGTAGGGGGTCTGAGATACCCTATTGCATATTGAATTATAGCTTCACACGATCATTGTGGTGCATCTCCACAGTAGTGAACCTAATGCAGGACCACCGTTCCGACGCAGGATCATCAGAAACTTAGTTCTCAACTAATATGTCAAGAAATATTGCCTCTTATTAGCAAGGATCCATCATTAAAGGTGAATAAAATTATTTCTCATATCTCTACAAGATGCAATTATACTCCCTCTTACAAGAAGGCATGGATCAGGAGGACTAAGGCAGTTGAACTTTTGTACGATAATTGGGAGGAATCATACAAAGAACTTCCCAGGTTTTTGGTGCCACTCAAATATTATGTTCCGGGAACTGTTATAATTTTGGAGATACTCCCGACATTTACCCCAGACATAACTCGTGTCTGTGGAAATGGAATATTTTATCGATTGTTCTGGGCATATGAACCATGCATCAAGGGTTTTGCATTTTGCAAACCTATTATACAGGTTGATGAAACTTGGTTATACAGAAAGTATAAAGGAACATTACTCATGGCAGTGGCACAAGATGGCAACAGTAATGTTTTTCCGATTGCCTTCGCTCTAGTTGAAGGTGAGACAAGTGGTGCATGGAATTTCTTTCTGAAGAATCTCTGATTACACATTGCTCCTCAACCCAACCTTTGTTTGATTTCAGACAGACATCCATCGATTGTGAATGCATACAATAACCCTAATAGCGGTTGGCAGGATCCCCCTTCAACACATGTCTATTGCATTAGACATATCACACAAAACTTCATGCTTCATATCAAAGACAAGACACCTCGAAAGAAAGTTGTTAATGCAGGGTATGTCTTAACAGAACCATCATTCTGACACTATCGCGAAGAAATCTGGTTGACAAACTCAGAAGCATTAAGGTGGACCGATAACATTCTAGTGGAGAAGTGGACTCAGGCATTTGACAATGGTCAAATATGGGGCCACATGACAACAAATTTGGTGGAATCGTTGAACTTTGTCTTCAAAGGCATCTGAAACCTACCAATTACTGCTTTGGTTAGAGCAACGTATTTTAGGATGCGATCATTTTTTGACACAAGAAGTTTAAAATCAAGGGCAGTGTTACAATCAGGGCAGTTGTTCAGTGAATGCACGATGAAAATATTTAACGAGGAAGTTGCGAAAGCAAACACCCATAATGTCACCGTGTTTGACCATATTAAAGGTTGGTTCAGTGTACAACAGACAATGGATCATAATAAGGAGGGGCCAAGAGGATATTATCGGGTCGAACTAGATAGAGGTTGGTGTGATTGTGGAAAGTTTCAAGCATTTCGCATGCCTTGCTCTCATGTCATAGCGGCATATTCGCATGTTCGCTTGGACCCAATACAACATATATCCCCCATTTACACAGTAAAAAGTGTTTTAAGTGTGTACATCAATACCTTCTCCGTGTTGGCAAAGGAGGATTATTGGCCTGCTTATCAAGGGGACATTGTTTGGCACAATGAACAAATGTGATGGAAGAAAAAGGGGCGCCCCAATAGCACTCGTATTAGAACTGAAATGGATACGGCCAACAAAATGATAAGATTATGCAGTACATGTCGTCTTCCTGGACACAATCGAAAAAATTATCAGAATATTGGGTCTAGCTCTGCAACCTAACTTTTTTATAGCAAACTTTTCGGAGTAATTAATTTGTTATACGCAAGAAATTTCAATTTAAATCTGGGTTATCATTTCGTGTTCAATTTATCATTCGATTACGACAACCTTCACATAATGACCCAAAAAATTACAACATCACAAACTCAGGACAACAACACAACAACATGATAAACAGACAAAGCAACTAAACAAATCATAATATCTAAGAGATAAAAACCATCAACAAAATATCGTCTGGTCCAAGCATCATCATCATGACATCAGCGTCGCATCTCACATTTTTCCATGATCAGCTTATTCCACTTTCGTTCTCACTGTAATTTGTCTTTCTATTTTTCTGATTTGTTCACCTTCAGAAATGTCTTCTTCCAACCAGCGAATCATGTGCCTCTGAAAATGCTCGAACGTCTGCGTGTTCCAGAGTTTGATCTTTACTGAAGGCTTTGTCGCCGAAAACATAACATGCGCATCTCTTTTGATCAGTGAAAACCTTGGCAAGGGAGTGGAAGATATTTTCTAAGAGTTATGTGACAAATGGTGTGAAAAAATGAAGAGAATGGGTGATTGCATTTATAAAAAAGTCATTTAGCACTGTCAAGCTACACTACATGGCGCCTCCTCTCTAACATTACATGCATGCGCCACATTACATGACTTTACAGAGGAGAATAAGTCATGCAGTGTAGCGTCTCCTCTCTAAATTGCATGCATGCGCCACACACAATGGTTACTCCTCTGTGTGACAGTTTTTTTTTATTTGAAAAGTAGTTAGTTTGGTAAAAAATTTGAAAATATAGTTATTTAAGAAAAAAAATTTAAAAAAATGATTATTTGAAAAAAAAATTAATATTTTAGTAAAATGATATCCTCTCTTTTATATATTTTTTTAATCTATATAAAGTAATCAAATATTGATATCGGAAGAGAGGTTAACCAAAGTCTTTATTAGTTAAAAATAATATACAAATTAATAATGCTTATACTTTACCTTAACTAATTTTCATCTTTCCTAAATTATTCTACAAAACATATCATTCTGACTAAAATGTGTATTTATTTTATATTTTCAAATAATAATAATATTAAAAAAAAAATTTTATATTATTACCTTTTAGCTATAAAAGTTGTACGTGTCCATGAGGTTCCAATGAACCCCTCAATTTTATAAATTAATATCAATATATTTCTATATCTTGCACTTTTAGAAAGAAAAAAATTTGCACCCTTTGCATATATAATAATAATAATAATAATAATAATAATAATAATAATAATAAAAAAAAATTAAAATAATTTTGCAAATCTGAACTAGTTAGCATATTCGGTTTTTGTAACATGAATATCATAGGATCAGGAAAACTATTATAAATTCAGATGCTCAGATTTGTCAAAATATATTGTTTGAAGAATCTTTCCAGTATCGTATTTTTACACTATCAGAATCTATTTGATAAGCATTTTAGGAGATGAATTGAAAAACTATTTAACTATGTGTCATTGTTGAAATCCTTTAGATTGCAAATTTTAAGACCAACAAACCATTGTCATATGGATTCTATAAATTCAAGCAAGTCCTACACAAACAACAAGCTCTCAAAAGTTTTCAAGCATCTGTTAAAACCCCTTTCCACATTATGCATAAAACTTGCGCAGAGTGGAGCATACTCTGGCAATATTGATGCTCCCCCGCCACCAAGATGTCAACCATCGATAGCTGACTTATATCTATCAGTTACACCTTCATATATCTGACCTTCATAGATAAGATTTTCAATAGCCAGCCTGCAAAACCAGATAAGGAGTCAAAAAACATAACTTGGACAATAGGGGAAGTGAGAAAATTGAGAGAAAAAGAGCAGAGACTTGAGTCTATCCGGGTGAATTCCAAGATGTTCTCTAATAACATCACGAGGGGTTCCCTCAGTCATTTCCCTGAAACATCAGTAACAACATTTTAGATTGTGAATACTGGACAATCTTTTAAGTAGTCCCAATTATAACAAAGCATTGCACAGATGTATAATAGAATGATTAAGCAATTGAAAAGATAAAACTAAATGCAATATTCTACACATGCATCTCTTAAGAACAAACAAGTGAAAACTGAAACTAGTTGTAATCTAGTGTGATGAATTTGTATGATTGTGCCATGAAGTTAAATTGCCAGAAAAGGTATAGGTAATGACTACTGTACCAAATCTTGGCTCATTCACAATACACGATTAAGGTTATTTCTATTAATAATTTGTGCATTTTGGAACCCACTCTTGATGGTAAGATGGACTATTCCATTGCATAGATACTTTTACTACACGTCTTGTAGATCCATAAACTCAATAAACTGAAAATATCCATGTGTACCAGATAATTCGTTAATCTACTTCTAGAGCAAATAATGCTTAGCTATTGCAATATTTAAGAAACATATGCATGAATACCCATTCAACTTGCACTAGTACAAGATATTAGCACTCTTCCATCATGATTAACTATTTCAACATATAATTTTAGGGGGTTACTTCTCCCACCTCTTAGTGCTTCTGTACAATTGTGAAAAACTAAAATTGCCCCTGAAATTCAGAAATGCACTTCCAGACGCACCTCTAATACACCACATCCCTTTGTAAGGGAGTGACACTCTCATTTTGCCAAAAAGATATCCGGAAATATACTTCTGTAGGTATTTCTTCATTGTTCAATTTCTTTACCGGAAGATAGGTACAACTAAGGGGTGTTGCCATAAACACTATAAGTGTACGACTAAAGCAATCAAAATCCCATAGCAAATGTCATACTTAATAAAGATAACAAACTTGGACAATAGCAAATGTCATACTTAATAAAGATAACAAAAATGGTGATCCGGGCTCAATCCCCAACATGTATGATGGCGACCTCCACTAACATACATGTCTCTATATATAGTTTCTTTTGCTTCTTCGATGTCGCCACAGAAGACTCAACACCATCTGCAAAACATAAACCTTCCTATAAAGCCGCCAACTTGTTCTTCAAATAAGTCCCCTTTTGAGAAAGGTCGTCAGGAATGTAGACGTAAGTTTTGGCCCCAACCAAGAAGTGATTTTGACACCGAAGTTTGGGAAATCGGTCTGGTCTGAACATCTTGAAGACATACCAAGATGACCATCACGCGTACTTGCATGAGCAACCTTGGTAAGGGCATAATATCGGCCCTGGAAATTCTTCATACTATCAGGATACAACTTAAACATCTTTCTACTGTGCCTAAGAGTGCAAACCTTGGCCCACCTCTGAGTGATCCGAACTATGTTGGATATTGAAAAGATGAAAGAACATCTGAGTTGGCTCGCTCATGTACTCACATTAGTACCGGAAGCCCTTGATGAAGGCTCACCTCAACAGATGCAATTGTAAATGAGCAACTCCAAGGTGGTTAAGAATATTCGCGTCAAAATCATTAAAGGGAAGCTAGAAGCCTATCTGAGAAAACAAGTGTTCATGGAAAGGAAAGATGCATCCTTCGTACCTACTACACAACCTTTTGTCCTCTTCCGGACGGAGCACCCCCAATCTGAGGAAAACTACACATTGGTAAAAGTATGATCCAACATCCCTTTCCTGGAAAATATGGAATAGTGTCTAACATCTCCTAGGCCACTTATGTCGCCGAATATTTGTCCCCTGGAACCTAAATTTGGCAACTATCTTGGTCCACATTCCAGTTTTACTACCAACACATGGAAAAAAATGACCCTAAGTATAGGCTAGAGATTGAGACTCCTGATGTAAGTTCGAACAAGTTACCCACGACAATTGGATTCGTCGAGGGGAAAGCTGGGAAAACAAATCCCCTGGCAATTTCTCTAAAATCAAGACCAACAACTATCATTTCTCCATCATTGATAATGATATCTCCTTTTGATTCTTCCACAACCATCTTCAAAGGGATCTAACAAGCGTTAAACAAATACAAGAAAGGAAGAGATACTCATTACCTTTAGAGATATGCACAAATCCAGTTGGAGCACCGCAGAAAGTGTCGGAACAGTAGTTAGCAAAAGATTGTAATTGGAAGTGAGGTTGGAAGTAGAAAGAGCAGCACAAAATTCCTTAAACCTCACATGTGGTGGTAGAAAAAAGAGCAGCACAAAATTGCTTAAACCTCACAAGTGACAAAAATGGAAAGAAAAACTCGCTCTTGAATCTTAATATATTGCTTGGTCAATGACCATTCGATAAGCATTAGAAGACATAGGGAAGAGTGCCCATACCATCAACGGTCTTAATGTAACCACGATTTATTGAGGCACTCGAGTACTACTCTATAAAGGTCACTTAAAAAATAATGAGTGTATGTTTTTGAAATCCAAAGTGAAGGTATATTAACAAGTTACAGCTTAAGGTATAAATCATAAATGTTTTGTTATAACTTGTTAATTTATATCCACTTAAAAAAAGAATGGTGTAAATTATCAAGTTCTCGTTTTATTGTCTAACTTTTGCACCCACTAATCTTCTAGTTGGTCTTAATTAGCAAACTAGACCTTAAGTTTTTGTTTGCAAGTTTGAAGAGGGCTTTGGATAAAAGGAGGAAGAAAGAGAAATATAAAATATAATATCCTCCATCTTGAGTAGAGGATTGGTTTTTCTTCATAATACAAAATCTCTCCAAAATAGAGGAACTAATAAACTGCTTCGAAAAGGGATTTGGAGAGTTTAGATGAATTCTACAAATTCAACCTATATTGTTACAATACTCTCAATATTAAAATTATATTAGTGATAAACATTCATTAATCATTTTTGACAAAAACACTTCAACAAAAGTTGTGAAAGATTTCTATATTTTCTACTACTCCCCTCCCGCTTAAGCCTTCTCTTCTCCTCTCCCTCCAAATTTACAAAGAGAGCCTAAATTGTGTAGTATTTTAAAAAAAATAGCTATAACTTGATAATCTACCACCATTAAAAATAAGCGAGTATAAATTAGCAAACCTGTGTATATACAAATTTTCAATTATGCATTATATCTAACTTCGTTAAGATTGATACAATAATCCACAAGGGAATAATTTGATTGCACCAATATAATAGGTGGGGCTGTTATAGTGATAGCCTTGATTTCAAAGATAGAAATGTTGCATAGCTTTGAGTGCCAGCAAGCCTCCTTGCCATAGGCCCCACTCTCTTAAATTAGAAAATCCCATCTCATTTCTTCCTATCATTTATATATAATGTGGTCTGCCATAGTCTAGGTCCCAAGTCCAAGGTAATCCTAACTAACTTAACTCCCAGGAGAACTAACAGGCCTAACCCCAAAATAGCAGAGGCTCTGAGAAATAACTGACTTAGTTATATATTATAGAAGCCAATCAAATAAAACAAAACTACATATTAAAATACCTGTTTTGGGGAAGAAGCAAGAAATCTGACACCAATTGTTCAACACTCTTCTGACCATTATTATTTTGACCTGAGAACTGCAGATAAAAAATACTAAATGAGCGAGGATATGGTAAAAATGAAGCAAAAACTAAAAGCCATGGTCCACTTACTTGATTTGCTGATACAGCTTGAAATTGATGACCTCTCGTGGGAGTGATTTGTGTGGAATTAGGAACATGTTGCTGATTGGGATTGCTAGCCTGGATATGTTGTCAATTGTCATGTGAAATATTAGAATGCAGACACACATATGGTACAGACTTGTCAACATCCATAATCTTATATGTACATCATAATTCATATCATGTCAAACTAAAATATAGAACTTGGCAACTTCATAACTTGTACCCGAAACTTCGAATTATATAGATGAACATATATGCAGTCAATGAAATGGTGGGCAATCTCGTTGAAGTCAGTCACAGGCCTGAAAATGACACGGAATGAGGATGTGAAATTTTTATCCGTTGGCAAAATAACCTGTCACTCACATACAAATAGCATAACTAACATTTGGTAATAGGTTATTGGTTGACGACAAATCTATCCAAAAAATTTAAAATATTGAACTGCTAAAATAAAATGTAAATTGTGAAATTTGTATCATACCTAAAAGAGAAAACATTCAAGTTTTTTTTACCCTGAAAGCCTTTCAAGTGTCCATAAACCCGCACATACATTCCATTTCTGCCAGAGAAAACAGAATTTCAGTTCATGTATGAAAATATAAATTGTATAATAAATGAAGAAATTGCAGAAGGGGCAATAACAATTTTTCAGACCATCTCAATGCAAAAATGATCAGTTGTGTGATGTTAACAGAAAGATAAAAACCAAAAGAAATCTGACCATATCATGTATTCCTCTTTCCTTGTTCTCTTATAAAAAAAAGGTCATATTTCAGCATTTAACATGCAATTTAAAACATTTCATTTTCTTGATCAATTAACCTACTAAAAAGTTGCTACTACTAGTGATAAGAAAAAGCTGATGAGAAACAATCAAAAAGTGCTTAACATAAATAACATTTCTTGTTAGTCTTCTCTATGCTTATAGAGGAAGGTATAAATAAAACTTGATTAGATATTAACTAAGTATAGTACAAAATGGCAATCAATACAAAATAAGGCAACATACAAAATACTCTCCACTTGAATTGAATCTGCAGGTTCTTGAAGCCTGCAAATAAACAAAAACTCATCATTCACAACCAAAAATGTAAAAAGAAAAAAGAAAAAAAATCAAACTGGATATGACAAGTTGCTCAAATTCAACAATATTCACCATTTAGTGCACTCAATCATTCCAGTACCATCATCAAGTACAAATTTAACATCAGTGATTTGTCCAGCTTTGCTGCACACCCTACCAAGAAGAGAAATCTGAACACAAAATGGTGAGAAAACTACTAAGCACTGACACCGGAAATACGACACCAACACTCACACGGCAACACCGATAATAATTTGAAAAAAATGAATAAATAAACATAATCACAAGTGCCGATACACATTTTTTAGATGTGTCAGTGCTACGTAGTCAGAAAAAGAAAAGCCAGAAATTATAGGTTCGTGATAACGAATTCACAAGAGAATATTCAAGGAACGCACTGTGCCAACTTCAACACCATCAATAGTCAGATTGGTTTTATCATCACTTGCTTGATAAGCATCGTTGATCTGCTTGATCGTCAGAGGAAGCAAAGCCTGAGCATCGCGATTCTGTAAAAGAAGAGAAAAATGTATAAATAAAATAATAAACCTAATGTATCTTGTAAGTTTTCAAAACAGAAGAAAAGCAATTACACAAGAAAAGCAAGTCAAAACCCTAAACCCTAACAACTAGTTGATATTGCGGTTATGCAATTACACAAGAAAAGCAAGTCTAAACCCTAAACCCTAACGACTAATTGATACTGCGGTTATGCGATTTTAGGGTTTATTGCGGTTGCGGTTGAGATTATCAAGAAGAAAATGGAGAGTGAGAGAGATACGAACCTTGGAGGGAGTGAAGGGAGAGTCGCCGCTCGGAGTGGTCTGAGTAACCGAGAAACCGCCGCCGGAGAAGGCGGCGTTACCGTCGAACTGGCTCGCATTCATGGTGATGCTTCTTCGGAATTGAAATGCGGCGATTGAAGAGAATTTAGAATTTTCACAATTCAGTGTGAGTGTATATATTATAGAGAGACGGTATCAAAATAATTGGTTTCCCGCCACTTTTCTTGCCCTTTTTGGGCTTCTATGTATTCCGCTTTGTTTCTTCACTTGAAGATGTGGAAAAATAAAGTGGTTTTTTTTTAAGGTTAAATATATTTTTAGTCTATGTAAATTTTATAACTTTTAATTATAATTTCTATAAAAAAAAAATTTAAGAAATGGAGTTTGTGAGGGGTTTTTTTTAATGACGGGGTTTACATGTCGGTTTATGTGTCATACCATATCTTGCAAGGTTTTAAACTCCTTTAAATAATTTTAAAAATAATATTTTTTTCACAAAAATAGAGCTTTTGAAGCTTTTCTTTTTCTTTACAAAATAAAACATTTGACTTGAAAATCTGTCATCAGACTAACTAGATATATAGTTTCTGCGGAACAACAGTTGGGGCATTGAAAATTGATGACATTAGCAACCAACTCTTAAGTTGAGAAGCATATAATATTGAATCAAATTGACTCTAAGCTTCCAAAATATAACTCATTCTCAGTAATGTCACTAACATTAACATACTTATTCTGGGAAAAATATCATATACTCATTAAATGTTTTAATTATACTTCCATCAAAATAAAATGTCACTGTTACGAAACAACAAGAAAGAAGATAAGAGAGATGATAATGATCTTATATTATTTCATCGATTTGATCGTATACAATGAGATTGGTTTATTTACAGAACATCATATAGACAATATAATAAATATAAATTGATTAAATAAGGAATGAGTTATTGGGAGACAAGTCATCTAATTATTCATAACACTCTTCCTTTGATATTTGTTTTAGATATGCCTCGTTAAAACCTTATTAGAAAAAACCTACTGGAAAAAAATCTAGTGAAAGAAAAAAAAGTACAATATCCTTTAAACAAATTTATTTCTCCTCCTTAACTGAACGATTATTTTTTCGAGGATGAAGATCAATCTTTTGTACTAGTTGATTAAAAGTTCTACTTGGGAGTGACTTTGTGAAAAGGTCTGCAAGATTTTCACATGAACGAGTTTGTTGGATGTTTATATCATTGCTCTTCAGGAAATCATGAGTGAAAAAGAATTTTTGAGAGATATGTTTTGTTCGGTCTCCTTTAATGTAACCATCTTTCAATTGAGTGATGCAAGCAGTATTATCTTCATATATGGTCGTTGTATTTATTTTTCCTGAAGACAAACCACAAGTATTTTGTATGTGCTGGATTAAGAATCTCAACCAAACGCATTCTCGACTTGCCTCATGTAGTGCTAAAAGTTCCACATGATTAGATGAAGTTGTTATTATTGTTTATTTCACTGATCTCCGTGAAATAGTTTTACCACCACATGTAAACATATAACCTGTTTGTGGTCTACCATTGTGAGAATCTGACAAGTAACCTTCATTTGCATAACCTGTTAATTCGAGTTTGAATACTTTGGTATAAAACAAACTCATGTATATTGTACCTCTAAGATAACGAAGTATATGTTTGACTATGTTCCAATATTTTCGTGTAGGTGAAGAACTGTATCTTGCTAATAGATTGATCGCAAATGATATATCAGGACGTATATAATTAGAAAGGTACATTCGTGCTCCAATCGCACTGAGATATGGTACTTCAGGACCAAGCAATTCTTCATCCTTTTCTCGAGACCTGAAAGGATATTTCTCTACATCTAATGATCTAACAACCATTGCAGTAGACAACGGGTGACATTTGTCCATATAGAAGCTTTAACATCTTTTCTATATAGCTTTATTGATGTACAAATTTTCCTTTGTTCAAATGCTCAATTTGTAAACCAAGACATAATTTTGTCTTTCCTAGGTCATTCATCTCAAACTTTTTCTTTAAGCAATTCATAGCTTTTGGAAGCTATTCAGGAGTTCCAGTAATATTTATGTCATCAACATAGACAGTTATTATTGCAAATTCTTTTCCTAATATTTTTATAAATATACAAGAAGAAATGGAGTTATTTGTATATCCCTCTCTAGTAAAATATTCACTAAGACGATTATACCACATGCGTCCAGATTGTTTCAGTTTATAAAGAGATTTGTTCAATTTTATGGAGTAGTTTTCTCGAGATTCAGAATTATGTGCATTTGGTACATTGAACCCTTCAGGGAGTTTCATGTACATTCCATTATCAAGTGAACCATACAGATAATTTGTTACAACATCCATCATGTGTAAATTAAGCCCTTTATGTTCTACAAGGTTTATTAAATATCAAAAAGTGCTTGCATCCATTACAAGCGAGTATGTCTCATCAAAATCAATTATATGTCTTTGCGAAAATCCTTAAGAAATAAGTCAAGCTTTGTATCTCATAATTTCATTATTTTTATTTTGCTTTCTCATGAAAACCCATTTGTAACCAACTGGCTTCACACCTTGAGGTGTTCGGAAAGGTCCAAAAACTTTTTTTTTTTATAGAGTGAGTTTATTTCTACTTCAATTGCATCTTTCCATTTTGGCCAATCCTCACTTTGTTTATAATTTTTAATAGACGTTGGTTCATGATCCTATTTGTCATTTATCATATTTAGCGCTATATTATACGAAAATATGTCATCAATGTCGACTTTGTGTCAGTTCCATTGTATTCCATTTTGGACATAATTTATCGAGATCTCTTTATTTTCACGAGTTTCAGGTACTTGATCAATCTCTTCTTGAGATGAAATGTTTATTATGTCTGAAGATTCTTTTAGATTTTTTATATCCTTACTTGAGTCATCTTTATTCCCAGCTTCCTTTCTTGTTCGAGGATTTTTATCTTTGGAATTGATTGGTCTGCCATGCTTCATGCGTGGTTGAGACTCATTGGATTGTCCAACAGGGATATCCATTTTTATTGAAGCATTTGTAGCTGGTATATATGATTTAGTCACAGCTTTTGGATCAGTGAATGCATTTGGTAGTTAATTTGCTAAGCTTTGCAAGTGAATTATCTTTTGAACTTCTAGTTCACATTATTTCGTTTGAGGATCAAGATGAGATAATGATAATTCATTCCAACTGATCTCTTTTTTCAGCTTCTTATTCTCTCCCCCTAATGCTGGAAGATTTGATACATCAAAATGGCAATCAGCAAAACAAGAATTGAATAAATCTCATGTGGTTGGTTCAAGGTGTTTTATAATAGATGGAGATTCATATCCAATATATATGCCCATCATCCTTTGAGGATCCATCTTAGTGCATTGTGGTAGAGAAATTGGCACATACACCGCACATCCAAAAATTCTTAAATGGGAAATATTAGGTTATTTACCAAGAACTAATTCTAAAATGGAAGAGGTGTGATAACTCGTTGGCCTGATGCGAATCAATCTTGCAGCATGCAAAATTGCATGTCCCCAAGCAGAAATTGGGAGTTTGCATCTCATAATAAGCGGTCTTGCAATTAATTTTATATGTTTGATAAATAATTTTGCAAGTCCATTTTGTGTATGAACGTGTCTAAATGGTCCACATGATAAATGCATAAACTAAAACCATCAAATATCTAAATGGTCCACATGATGGGTGTGTTGGCCCACAAGTATCACCATGTATACGCTCTAAAAAACGGATAGATTCATTTCCAATTTTTGTTGGTGATTGATGTGTCTGCAAGTGCATGGAAATATTGAAGTAATATAAAAGATTGTTGAACCCACATAGACCAATGCCAACCTACTGTAATCTTTATCGCTTTGTAAAGCTAAGGCTAATGAATGATTGATTAAGGGGAAACTGTGATACGGTGGGAGAACTGACTAGAGGTTTTGCGTTTCGTTCGCACTTGTGCGGTTAGCAAGAGTCGCCACCGACTTTTTATTTTATCCAAAGGAAAGGTCAAAAAGCACAGGAAAGACCTTTGATATGTTTTCTTGGGTTCGGGGGGTAGATTATGAAAAGGGAAGGTGCAAGCACCCTTTTCATCCATGGTTATCCATTGGCTCTTAGTTACTTGTTTAGATCACTTGTTTTTGCTTTTCAATTGTTTGAAATGGTGCTTTGTGTGTGGTTTTGAAAATGTTTTGAAAAGAGGCCTTGTCTAGGCAACCTTTGTAACAATTCTTGTTTGAATGTTTTACAAAGGTGTTTGTCTTTTGAAAAAAATGTTTCAATGTTTGAATGTTTGATTTGGGGAAATATTTTTGAAATTGTGTTGTGATGTGTTTTTGAAATTAGCAAGGATGGTTTGCAAGTTTGATCAAGTAACTAGGAGTTGTCTACCCTACTCAAATATCTTTTCTACACATTTTTAACCCTTTGACATTGTTGTTTTACCATTGTATTTGGTAAACAAACTTGTGTTTGGATGTTAAACTGGACGGGCACGGGTCAATTATACAGTCATTGAAAGCAACTTGTGAGATTCTCTAGCAATTTTGTAAGGGACAAGATCGTTTTATCAAAGGCAACATCGAGGGTCATCGAGGGACTACGATCTTTGTTTATCGAAAGGTCATTTGCTAGAGTGTCTCATATTCGAGGGACATGATTGTATTTCCGAGGCAACAAGCGAGGTTACCCTAGAGGTGCTCGTGTGAAAAGTGTATTGATTTCAAGTTATTTATTCTTGGATTAGGTCATCTAGCGATTGATTTTTGAATCTTGCCATACATGCCTAATTACTACACAGTATATCGAAAGCAATAAATTGCGGGAATCAAAAGTCTAAGCTATTACAAAAGTATCCGGGAATGAGGGTACAATTATTACAAATGGGGATGAATCACATAAGAATAACAATGTCCAAAATATTACAACCAAATCGAATTGCTATGCGATTTAACACAAAGCTATGACAAAATAAAATCAATAAAGTATGAGATGTATGTATTTACTCGAAAAGAGAGAAATGAAATCTATTCTAAAAATAAAGATTAAAAATTTATTATTATT